GACTTAGCCTCATCCTCGAGCGTGCGCAGGTTGGCGAGGGTATCGACGGAGGCACGCTCCCACGCCTTCAGCTTGCGGGGTACCATAGCCATACCCTCGTGAACGATGTCGGCGTTGATGCTGTTGTCCAAGTTCTTGGAAGCAGTGGGGTCGAGGAGTGTGACGTGCAGGGTACCGTCCTGGTCGACGTGGTCAACGTTCGCGACGAGCTGGCGGTCGAATGTCTGGTCGCCGACGAAGCCGACGGCGTCCTCGAGGTAATCCTCGGAGGTGGGGAACTGCAGGAGAGAGAGGACTGCATCAACGGCCTGAGGGCGGAGGGTCTGGCCAGAGAATTGGGGTTGGGTGAGAGGGCGGAGCGATGCCCATGGTAGAACCTCGGAGTTGCCGTAGTCGATGTAGACCACCTCAGCCTGCTCCTTCTCGCGGTCGTTGCGGCGCACCTTGGCGCGGTACCAGTCACCATCTTCGGTGAATTGGGCGGCAACCCAGTCGCCGGCCTTGGGAGGGCCAGGCAGCGGGGTGTCGTTGGCCTTGTTAATGTGGAATTTGCGGAAAGCGCTCATCAACTCGGTGAGCGCGTTCGTACCGGCACCAATCTGTTGCAGCTTGAGCTTCGCAGAGGTAGGGTCGATGTAGGTAACCATAACATCGCGGTAGTCCTTGCGACGCTGAGCGGGAGCGGCATCGCTCTCAGTGCCAGTTGCAGCGCCGTTAGCGGCCTCAGCCTCTTCAGCCTCAGCAGCCTCCTTAGCGGGGTCCCAGTCGTGCCACAAACCCTTGCGAGCATCCTTCGCCCGCTGTTCAGCAGCGAAATACTCGTTGGCGTGACCAGACTGCTCAGCAGAGTATGCATGAACGGTGGCGAAACCCTCCTCCAGCAGAACGGTTGTGAAGTTCTCCTTGTTGATGTAAAGGCTTCCGATGAATCCACCAACCTTGTCAATGGTCTCAACGTCAATCTCAACGTCGCGCTGCATGCAGCGGCGGTTGGCAAGGTCGTGGGCCTCCTGACCGAAAGGCTCGCCGGCGTCGCTGGGCCCGCGGGAAGAACGAGGGGCACGGATACCGGAAAGGACGAGAGTCAATTTAGCATTGTCGCGGGGAACTAGAACAGTGAAGCGGGAGCCAGACTTGACAAAGTCGACGACAGCCGGGACACGCTTTTGACGCTGCAAGATACCAAGCTCCAGCTTGGCCTTTTGTACGCTCTCTGAGTAATCCACCACCTGCTTCGCCTTGGGGGCCTTAGAAGACCACATTCCACGGCCTTCCGCCTGGGCATCAGCCTCAGCAGCGAGGAGCGCATCGTAGTCGGGAGACCGGTCAGCGTCGTCCATACGGTGGCGAATTACAGAGGAGTAACCAGCCTCCACAAGAGCAAGACCAACATTGGTGTTGCCCTGCACAACAGTAGCCACCTCGCGCTCCTCGTAGCCCTCATTTGCAGGCTTCTTGCCGTTCACGGTGACCATGACGTGCTTGGCGATCACCCGCTTGCGCAGGTACTCCTTCGCCTCAGCAGCATAGGGAGCCTGTTTGGGGTCGGAGGGCTTGGGCTGACGGATACTGGCGAGACTGATCTTCTTCTCCTGACCAGCCTTGTTGCGGATGAAGAGGGTATCCGCATTCAAAACACGGGTGACAACGTAGTCCACAGCCGCTGCACCAGCAGTGGTGGGGCCCGTGTGGCTAACCCACAATCCCTTGCGGCCAGCCTTCGCTGTAAGTTCTGCCTGGCGGAGAAGAGCCATGTCAGGACCCAAAAGCGTGGAGTGGTGGTCCTGGCAGCGGGCCAAACCAGCCTCAAGAAGGAAACGAGAGATGTTTCCGTTGGGGTGAAGGAGGGTGGCAACAATTTGTCCCTGCGGCGTAACACCAACAAGAGAAACCTTGACCTTGCGCTGCAATAATCGCTCCTCGACAAACTGCTGTGCCTCATCACCGAACGGCTCAGCCGCGGTCTCTTTGCCATCAGCAGTCGTGCGCTTGGCGGATGGTGCCCGGACACCAGCAATAGCAATGACAGTCTGAACGTGCTCCTGTGGCTTGAGGAACAAACGCAGCACAACACGGTCACCGTTCAGGACCTTCTCAATAATACCCTCCAGCTGCTGGCCCAAGTTACGCTTAACCAAATCGCGAGCGCCAGTCAACTCGTAGCTAGTCTCGATTTGGGCATCGCTATCGCTGGCCCAGGTTCCCTTTCCTTCGTCCTGGGCGAGGGATTCCAATGCCCGCAAGCGCGCCAAGAGTGCCACGGTCTCCTCGGATTCATCTGCGCGCTTGCCGGCTTCTTCGCGGACACGTGTCCAGCCCTCCTGCACACTGATATCGGGCAATGAGGCGTCGAAACCGGGGAGCTTGATGGTACCGTAGTCGCGCTTGGCACCGGTGGGGATGGTGTATTCAACGTGGAACTGGACCACTTTGCCGACAAGGAGCTCACGGAGGAATTCGCGGGATTGGAAGGCGTATGCCTATAATTGATTCTCCAGATTAGCCTCATCTCTTTTTCTCTCCTCCCCTTCAATCATCGCCATTTTATCCAATGCCATGCGTAGCTCGTAGGGCTCAGAAAGACTAATTGGAGATCCCAGAAAGCAACAATCTGGCCTTCCAATGGTGCAATCAACAGGCAATGAATCTCAACAATGCACCTACCTCGTCGCCCTCTCTCCTTAATCTCGGAGCAGAGACATAAGCCAAACTCAGGATACGTTCTTGTGAAGGGTTGGTGATATGCGACAGCACGACCGTGTCACCGGACAGGACGGACTTGACCCGGGCTTCGAAAGGCATACTGAATGAAACAGTCTCCACTACCACATGCACAATTGGGATGAGATTGAAGACAGAACCAGAATAAAAGTAAACACAAGGAAGAGAAAAAGAAGTTGAGAGCAAGGGGAATGTCCTGAGGGGAAACGTGGCCGGTGTTTGGACTTGTGGGGGAAAGCGGTCAGCCGATCCGAGCTTCTACGGGAAGTCTACAAAGCAATCGAAGCTATACAATCCATCGATCATGACAGATATCCAAAATATACACACGTCAATTTGGCATTCATTCATGTATCCTAGACGGAGTATCCTGCATTTTTTATCCACCAATTACGGGGATATCAAAACCCAGTGCTTAAAAAGGGATAGAGCTGCACATTTATGCGGCAATACCAATGACGCCTAAAATATGTTATTAGCATTCATCTCCACTACAGCACGCCTTCATCAACTTACCGCAAGCGGGGCGGGGACCGGCGTTACCGGTCTTCTTGGACTCCTCGTTACCACCCTTGCCAAGGTCATCAGTACCGGCGTGGACGACCAGAGTGCGCTATACAGGTAGGTTAGCAATCTGTTTCAGCAATGCTAAATATCAATTATAAACTCACGCCCAGGACGGACTCGGCACCAATCAGCTTGACAAGGCTGTCCTGCTTGGAGCCGTTGGCGTTACCCTCAGCATCGGTCTGGAAGTTACCGAGATCACCGACGTGACGGTCGGAGTCAGTAGGAGCACCGTGGTTCTTGCCGAAGGGGTTGACTGAAAGCACATCAGTATTCAATCCTTCCTCTTCATCATTTAGCTCATCAGGAATGACATACAGTGAGGGCCAGCGGAGGTGCAGCCGTTGGTGTTGTCACCGAACTGGTGAACGTGGAAAGCACGCTCGGCGTTGGCGTCGTGGCCGGTGATGTTCCAGGTGATGGTGGTAGGGGCACTCTCGGAAGCCTGCTCGAAGGTGACGGTGCCGGCGACCTTAGCGTCACCACGGAGGACAGCAACTGCAAGGAAACAAAAATGGTCAACGAATTGTTCTAGAAGGCTCATCGAAGGCTCTCCGGCATGCCGGTGACTGGATCTCCAAGGCCCTGGGGTCTGGTCTCAGCCTCAGCAACGGGTGGTGCCGCACTGGCCCAGGATCAGAATGCCACTCTAGCAAATGAGCAGTGATAATCCCCAGTTTTATCCCAGGGGCATTGGCAGACATCCAGACATCAGTGGAGAGCTAGGGGAGAGGATGCAAGCCGATAGGCTCGGATTTGGCATCTGGGTCACAAGGTGCTCAAATCTGCTCACACCCAAGGTCCCCTTGCCACAGATCGTGGGGAACTTGGGAGCTGAAGATCTTATGTATGGCCCAGAGAGAACCAATAATGGAAATCACTTACCAGCCTTAACCATTTTGATTATCTTAAGAGTTTTTTAGATTGAAGATTGAAGAAAAAGGGTATTGTGAAGGAAGAGGAGAGGAAGTGGGCGGGCGAAGATAATAAGGCGGATGATGTTGACGTGACTCTACACTTGTATCAATAAGGTACCAGGTACATGTATTTCAGTGTAAAAAGGGCTCAGAACGCCAGTACTTGGTACCTAATACCACAACAAAACATCCCCCACCTTCCCAAGTGGGGAGTCGGAGCTCGGAAAATGACATAATTATTAATAAACACCTGGGCATCGTGAACACCTCCCACCTGGCCCTGGAGGACTCAATTGTCATTTTGGATATTCTTACTCCAAATTGTACACCCTTCTTGATTGCTTCTTCTCCGTACATCTGTGGTGAGTACTAAAATGGAAGGGCAAAGGTCTCGAGTGCCAGCATGTGTACTGTTGTACAACTGTCTCAAATTCCAAGCTGTAAATCATCTTATCAGCAACTTGAAATTGATCCAGCCTCGGGTAATATAAAATATATACTCGGTATCAATACATAGTTACATTGTAGCCATGCTACTATGCACAAATATGCTACTAAGTGAAATGACACCATAGCTGCAAAACACTAGTGCGGGGGTCTGAATAAGCCGACCCGGCCAGATTCCGCAGCTTACTAGTTTACCCCTCAAGTTCTAATTTTCTAATTTTCTACACCGACACCGGAGAATAATAATAGCACTGGGGACAAATTCATCAATTCGTATCTACCGATTCCAATTTTTGTGGGAGATCGCCAATTTACAATTAAACAATTAAAAGAATATCAGAACCCAATTTAAGCCTGGATCTTCTGGGCAAGAAGCTGCTTGAGGGTAACGGCATCAGCCGCGAACTTGGAGATACCCTCACGGAGCTTCTCAACACCCATAGCCTCCTCGTTGAAGTCGAAGCGGAAGTCAGCCTCGTTGTTGAGGTACTCGCGCTTCTTGATGTCAAGGGTGGCGGCACCAGCGGGGTTGAGCTTCTGGGGAACGGCCTCGGTGGAGTTGTAGAGGTCCTCGAGGAGGTTGGGGGAGATGGTCAGGTAATCACAACCGGCCAGCTCGGTGATCTCGCCAACGTTACGGAAAGAGGCACCCATGACAATGGTCTTGTAGCCGAACTTCTTGTAGTAGTTGTAGATGTCCTGGACGGACTTGACACCGGGGTCCTCCTGAGGGGTGTAGTCGCGCTTGTGGGCAGCCTTGTACCAGTCAAGAATGCGACCAACGAAGGGAGAGATGAGGTAGGCACCGGCCTCGGCAGCGGCAATGGCCTGAACCAGAGAGAACATGAGGGTCAGGTTGCAGTTGATGCCGTGCTGGGACTGGAGGATGTGAGCGGCCTTGATGCCCTCGTAGGTGGAGGCAATCTTGATCAGGACACGGTCCTTGGAGATACCGTTGTCGGCGTACAGCTGGGTGGCAAGGGTCAGCTGTGGATTTCTCGGGGAAAGGTCATTGCGTGGCAACTTGTGAACATACCTTGATGATCTGAAGAGCCTTGTCGACGGAAGCCTGGGTATCGAAGGAGAGCTTGGCGTCAACCTCGGTGGAGACCTTGCCGGGGATGATGTTAAGAATCTCCTTTCCGAACTGAACAAGGAGACGGTCGAGAGTGGCCTCAACTTGCTCATCGAGGGTCTTTCCGTTCTGCTTGCCGTAGGCAACGGCAGTGTCGATAAGAGCGGCGTACTCGGGCTTCTTGGAAGCAGCGAGAATCAAAGAGGGGTTGGTGGTGGCATCCTGGGGCTTGTACTTGCCAATAGCTGCGGTTGATGTTAGCTTGCCATTCAATGCTGGAACGAATGCCATCTCAGGCAAATCAGGAATACATACTGGCGAAGTCACCTAGAAGTTGAGTGTTAGCATGTTTTGTTTTCGATGCAAGCTAGATAAAATTGATAGCTTACCAGAGTCGCAAACGACGACGGTGCCGGAGGCCTTGAGCTGTTCGAGAGAAGAAGACATTTTTTTATGTATTGAAGGTGAGATAGAGAGAGTATGAAGAAAGAAGAAGAGTGGCGGGCGGCGCAGTGTTTAAGAAGGAGGGGTGGTGTCATGGACCAGAACCAGATCAATTGCCGGGTACTTAAGTTTAGTATGTGATTGCCATAGTAAATGGAAGTACCAGAAGTTGCCCCGTTTTTCAGGTGGGATGGTGGGGCAAATGACGCTGCACAATGAAATCAGAGTTGTCCTTCACATGTGTATCCCAACTATTTTCTGTTTGCCATTGCTTCTTAGGTTCTCTACTCTTCTTTTTCAATCTTGGTGGTCTCTCTATGAGTAGGCTAATGGATCAATCCCAATATGACTTCCTATATATTCTGATTGACCTATTTGACCAGGTGTGCTACAATCCCAAAATCCGGCGCAGAGTGCTCCGCCTTCCCCCAACCGGAGGATGGTAGACCGGACAACCCGAACGGCCCACTAGGTACTGCATCGGTTTTTGTAATGTTCACCGGGGGCCCGGATAAATACACGTCGACGGCTAGTTATGGGGAAATGTGATTTCCGAACACCTTGGCTATGGACCCTACAGAGTAATAATCTTTGAATGGAGGTGGCCTGAAAAGGGATTCACAAAAACCACAGCTTATAACAGGGGTTTCCATATATACATCGCTTTTCCTATAGATTCGGTACTCGGGAGACGGAACAACCACTCTAACGTCTAACTATAATATATGTCTTACTAAAGGGGGTTTTCTACATTGTATTTCGTGTCGTGTCATCAATCGAACATCTTCCGTTAGTGCGGTTGCCCATGTGTTGTGCGGAATCGCGCTTTAGCCTATGGGCTCAACCGCCGGGCCACTAGTTATACTTTATTGATTGTTGACATGGACTCAAGGATATTCATGCTCGAGAAGTCAGCGTACTACAGTTTGTACCTCTCCCGAAGAAGCACCATATAGGGGAATTCATAGGCCCAAGGTTGGTTTTTACTACCACAACCGCAAAAGTATGCCGGAAAGGGAAAGAGGTTGGGTTGCCAGAAATTATCTGGTAAATATGCTTTTTTTTTTGGCTATGAACACGAGATCAAGGAGAAGTGGAGGGTATCGGAGTAACACCGAGATAATTAGCGGCGCTGGATGCAGTTCCATTCATACTACCATCATGTTAGCTTCGTCAATGAAACATGAAACGGCGTAATAAAACTCACCACTCGGCCAGCCTCATCCCCCGTATAGACCACGTGGGGGAGAGCCAGGATACAACTGATACCGGCGCTGATATTGGCACCATTGTCGCGATTGCTGTCAGTATGATGCAACTGTCGAATCAACTCCAGCTCAAAGCGGCCACCGCGGATATTCTTGCTCCAGATGTTCACCACGCCACGAGTATGGCCGGTCAACACTAATTCACGCTCCAGCCATTCATTCTGCACCCCCTCGTAGAAGACGCAGGACAAGACGCGATCATCGGCCGTCTCGCAGACTGGTTGGTCAATCAACACTACGCCATTGAGGGTAAATAATGTCAAGCGATTGCCGCGACAAACCATGATGTCTCCAGAGACATCGTTGATCCGAGCACACTAATTTGTCAGTAAAGGACAGCACGCAATAGAGAAAGGGGAACATACATCGACCGCACCGTCGCCGGGAAGGGCTCGCACGAAGGACCGTCGATTGAGATCCCATAGCATAACCCGCCCGTCATTAGAGGCAGACAATAAAGTACTGAAGGAGCGCGAAACGGCGAGAACGGTGACTGGGGCTCGATGACCAAAGAGCGACCCAATGGGCTGCAAATCTACGGACTTGGAGGTTGCAGTGACCGTCCATAATGAGATGGTACAGTCTGTACCGCAGGTAACCAGGGTGCGGGAATCCGCAAAGCTGGCATGGGACAATTGGCCTACATGAAGATGCTCAAAGTGGCCCAGGAGCTTGCGAGTATCGGCGGCGTAGAAACGAACACTGCCATCGAAGAATCCCCACTCCATGTAGTAGTCATAGGCTGGCGGCACGTTGAGCCTCAGGGCCGCCGTACACAATAAACGGTCTTGTTTCACTGATAGGGTGGCTACTCGTTCCTCAATATCAACAAGAGACAAAGGCATTTGGGTCAGAGATTCTGCGAGAGTGTCCAGCCGGGGTATGCGGTGCCGTTGATCTTCCCTCTGGGCGTGAGGTCGTTGGAAGATTTGGTGAGGAGTTTGTCCGAAGTTGTGAATAATGCCGATGGTGGCCAACCGTTCCATTGGGTCATCAATGGCATCTAAATCTTTGGCACCTTTGTATGAGAGGTGATGGAAAACGTTGACGGACTCGACAGCTGCCTCGCCCTTTTGCTTGCTGCCGAAAACGAGATCAATCCAGCGATGCAGGTTCTCGGACACATAGGGACTCTCAAGTGCTTCTCGGTGCTTCGCAATGAAGATCTTGGGATCGCCCTTTGCCCAAGGTGGCAACTCAACCGAGTCAATGGCTGTGGTCATGTTTTGGAGAAGGCCAAAGTCATAATGGTTGGAGTTCACTAGGAATTCCGGGAGATAGAAGAACTCAGGGGTAAGTTCTCGAACGTCAGTCATGTTTCCTCGCGATGCTGACTCCCATGCCTTACGGATTGAATAGAAGAGGCGGTCGGCATGGTCGAAGGAGCCGCCCTGAAGTAAAAGATATGACTTGACGAATGGTTGCAGCCGGATGAGGTAGGAACTGACAATCATGGCAGAAGAGTAATGCGTTCCATAATGGAAAGGCGGGGAATTATCGTCGCCCATCTCAGCAAAAGCATTGTATCGCTCACGGAAGCCCATTTCACGTTCCGGTGTTTGACAACCCATAGGCTTAGATAGGTCGCGGAATGTGGCTGGGTTTTCAAGATCAAGTTCCTCACTTGTATAGTCCGCTAGTACCCATGGGAAAACGGGATATTGGGTTAAATCATTGAACGTACGCCCAGCAAAGGTGTTGATCAACATCAGATAATGGAAGTTGGAAATTTCACCCTTAACCCACTTGCGCGTTGCTGGGTTTGCCGGAAGATGACCGAAGACACTGGCAAATTTAGATCCAAGGGATTGTGGTGCATCATCTTGACTGCGAAGGGTTTCAAATCGCCAGATGTCTTCTGGTCGCGATTGTCCGGTGCTTCCCGTGACCTGTGGTGCCTTGATAGCCAGCTGGTTGCACAGATCGTCTCGAGCTCGTGCCGAGAGCAATGTTAACAAATAGCTGGTACCATCCGTAAAGAATATCTCAAGAGCAACATCGCGGAACAGGAAGCGACGCTTGGAAACGCTGACCAAATCAGACCATTTCCAGCTCCTTGTCTCATGCTCCTGTGAGCGGGGGTCATTTGATTCGCGGCCAGAAATCATGCGCACATAGGGATCTCGTTCCTCATTGGGGGCTTGCCAGACGTTCACAATCTCGCCATCTGCTCTCTGGAAGAAATTGTCCAGAATATAAATGCAATCCTTGCCGAGAATCGAAATACCCTCCACTGCCTCTAGACCAATGATTCGAGACAGGTTACACACACTTTGAACTTGATCGCCACGTTGAAGAGATCGCATCACCTTCCGGTTTCTATCTTCATAGTCTTCGAGCTCGATTTTAGGGTCATCAATCATCTCGAAGTTATCTTCCATAAGGCTCCGGTTGTCGGTATCGCCATTCAGCGAGTCGCCTCCCCCATTCTCAGGGTCCTCTGGGAGAGGATGGGGCGCCGTCAGAGTCTCACCCTCCGAGAGTGCACGTATGCGGGTGTCAATTTTGATTGCTGGGGGCTCGGAGGCCTTACGCTTAGGCTGATAGTCCTGTCGATCACCCGACTCATCTGGAACTAGACGTAGTCGCATACGGCTGCGACCTTCCGTCTGGTCTAGCCACCATCTCCTCTCCCTCTCTTCTGCGAGAAGGCCACCAGGTCGTCGCAAGTCAAGTAGTAAGTCAGAGAAAGCTGACCACATGAAAGTAGAGCTATCCTGAAGATCTTGCAAGAATCGTTGAGACTTCAAAAACTCCGATGCTGCAATGTTTGAGATCCAATGTGGCAAAGTAGCCTCGTGCTTTCGCGTCATGTCTTGGTCGAATTTCTCAATCTGGGCCCATTGTCTGAGTTTGTCTTTACGTTTCGATACTCTAGACCTGATGGACTCTTCGGTGCTTGTATTCTCCTCGTAGACGAAGGCGTCCCACGATCGAGAAAATACACCGAAGAACAAGGCATCCAGATCGTCACGCTGGTCATCGATCCATTGTAGGAAAGATTCGTCATCCATTCCCGAAAGAGCGTCGAAGCCGTCAGCCAACCGGCGCTGGAGAGATACAGATCCATGGCTGAGAAGTGTTGTTATCTCATCCGGAGCCTGTACCAATATGATTCTCCACAAGCGGGTAGCAGCTGAGCGGACATCACTATTCGTGCTGATTAGTTTAGTATACAGCAGGTAGCATAGCAGGTGTAAGTGTTTTGATTGGGTTTCAGCCGCCGATAGAAGGACCACCTGCCAGTAGTTCAATCGGTTTAGCAATGTCACGGTTTCGGTGTCATCTGCCTCTGACAACTGAAATAAGATAACTTTGTACAGAGTCGAGCGAATCGTTGCAGTAGCCTGGCTACACAAACGAATGCTTTTCAACTGAGATATGTCCGGGCGTTGGAGATACTCCAAAATTGTACCAATGAATTCGAGTGTGGATGATGCCCCGTTAATGAACCAGCCTTCAGATACTGCCTCCGTCAAATGTGTCGCAAAGCGCCCCAGATTCGTAAGTGTCCGTGTTTCATGAAGTAGACCTGGTCGAACTAAAGGGAGGTCTTGCAATGTGGAAAGCACACAACCAAAAACCCAAGAATTGAAGTATGCCTGGTGTTCCAAGAAGCCGGGCGGGGTCTTCAGATAGAGACCAAGACCCGAAAAGTCTTTGCGCCCTAAAAGCTGGTCATCGAAGACAGCCAGCACAAGCCTGAAGACTGCCTTGACGATGGGATGATCAGTG